CTTGTTCCCTCCAGACAGGTTGATGATTCTTAATCCAAGAATTCAAGTAATGAGCAGTTGAAGTTTCCATCTTGAAACATCTGTTCCGCCAAGTCAGCACTGGCCTTGATAAATAGCAAATCAGACTGATGCATGCAAGTGTATACACACATGCTCAAGTTAAACTTGAGGGAAAATACTTGAACAGACCTCTGCATAGACAGATTTATATAATTAATCAGTAATTAGGCTTTGTACAATGCAGATTGACTCAGGTCAAAACACAGAAAATGCAGACATGGTAGGATCTTTACCTGTTGCTGCAAAAAGTTTTTTCAAAGGTTGTTTGTGGGTAAGTTTACATGCCTTTATTTAGTTGTCACAAACCTTCACTGCTATTTTAACTTACTCATCTTGCAGGGGAAGAAAAGTATGTTTAGCTAAAGGATGAAAACAAACCACAAGTACAACTGCATCTGCATGCTTTTAGTAATCTCAGCAAACTTTAAACAACTTTAAAAGTTTGCTTAATTTTTAACTGTGCAAAATAAAACCTTGCGTACACCTCTCATTTTATGAAGTCTGTACCAAGATTTGCAATGGTGACTCTCCCTGAGCCTGCAGAATAAAGGAATAATTTCTTTTTGCAGGTTTTTTATAGTCTTTATATCCTAAAAATCTGTCAAATCTAGTTCTGAAGTCACTCTGTTGAGAAGGTTTCTACTTGATGTGATGTGCCAATTCAATTCCATTAACAAAAATGCCAAGCTAGTTCAGGAAGGTACACACTTCACTCTCAGCAGAGTAGCAAAGAAAGCCTGAGAAACTCCACTGGAAATAGGAAGGTTTGACACAACTGTCCTCTAGAGTATACAGGGAGGTTGGCAAAACAAAATCTCACTCTCTGTACATCCTTCAAAACAAAGCCTTCTCCGAAGGGAGCTAGAGGTATTTTCCTGATTGTAAGGCTTTGCGCACTAGAGCCAGGGTGGAATGATATGACTACTGAAATGTCAAGAGGGGAAAGAAGTCAAGATGAAATGTGGTTTTACTTAAATGCCAGGCTGAAACAATTAAGGAGTGCCATTTGTTATTTCAGCAGGAATATCCTTCTCTCCATATGGTCCATCACAGTATTTCTGGTACAGTGAAATGAAAAACGGGAACTGGGCTTGCCTTTTATAAGCAAAGGGAACACCTCTATAAGCGAATCCTGAAACAGCAAGAGATAAAGGTGCACAGGAATAGACTGTCATTTCATGATTTCCCACATTCGCTTTAGCAGAAAGTCACCCTGCTACATTCCTTGGTGTGGTGCTGCTGGATTATATAGCGCGAGTGGCATTCGTGAAGCCTGTCATGAGTTAAGATGGTACCTCGTGGCTGGTGCAATCCTGTCTTCAGAGGAAAGTTAGCATGAGAAAAATAATGACTTTCTTAAAGTAAAAGGATTGTGCTGGCTCTTTTGAAAGTTAGAAGTAAAAAGAGAAAACGTTTCTTCCCTTGGGGAGATGGAGTCTAATAGAGTGGCCAAAAGTACAATCAGCTACTATTTTGCAAGAAGAAAGTTCATGCCCACGTCTCTAGTATATTTATGTGAAAAAATGAGGTGGGTATTTTCTAAATCAGAACAGGCCTCTCAATGTGTTAAAACTCCTGAAATTATAATCAGACATCTTCCTGTGGCTTTCAAGCCTGGCTTAGTTCAGCTGAGATCCTGAGCTTTTCCCTCACCTCACCATTAAGAAACAACTTGTCCACATCTTTCCAGTCCTTCCTTGTGCCTCCAAACAACACGTGCAGGTCCCTGTAACTCTGGCCCTGCTCCTCCCAGCAGGACAATGGGACACCAGTACCCTTCCTAAGAGGTATGTCTTAAGGGGCGATGAGTTAGGATACCAGAGAGCCTGTCTCTATCCTGGCCCCCTGCTGAACTCCTTTGCCCCCAACCCCACTCGCAGAAGGCAGTGCTCTGCTCCTCCACCGCCAAGCTCCCAACTGCCTGGGACCTGACATTTGTTCTTGTTTTCTCCTGTCTCCCCTAATGGGCATAGCACTACTAAGCGAACAGGAATGTACAGAACAAGAGAGTTCAAAGTAATTGAGTCTACATTCATTCAGAAAGCCTGGATTCTTGCCCACTCAGAACCTGCAGCATCGACATAGTTCAGAAAGTTTAACCCTTTTCCCCTGAACCCGGTATGCTCTTTCAAGTGCAGAGTGTTGCACTTCTCTTGCCACTGACCGTGGGCACTGAAAAGTGTCTTTCACTTACCTAGCTCTAGGTGTTTACCAATCAATGCTGTATTCCTCCCTTTTTTTTGCTCTGCAGGACAATAACTAAAGACCTTGAACTGTCATTTTCAGAAGATGCCCAGGGACTTGTGTTGCAGAGGAATGATCACCTAGCAAAACTACTAAACATATCTGCCTAAAGTCTTACTTACACAAACAGGGCTGTGCTGGGTTGAAAACAGCTCAGTTTTCTGCTGCAAATTCATCTGTTAAGGTGTAAACTTCTACCTCAGTCTGCAAAATCAGTGAAGAATTAGAAACGTTCCAAAATTATTACAGCTGTAAACTCCTTTTTTATGATTATGAATTATTACATTACAATTTTTTTCATTATGATTAATTTTAACAAATTCTCATTTCAATTTCATTTAAGAGATGACATTAGTTGGCAGCTTATTATTGACTTAAAATTTGTAAATAAAAATTATTTGTTCAAAGAAGTTTAACATCTAATAACAGTGGGAATTCTTGAAATGGCCTATCAAATAATGTTTGTGTCTGGATCTAAAAGTGCATTTATACTATCTGTAAAATAAGTAGTGCAGCAATATGTAGGTCAAATAAGCAGTGAATCTGAGCAGGAACAAGAGCCTATCTGACTTTCTTGTTTAATTGTTAGTTATAGTAGAAAAGTCAAAATAAAAAATTGCTCTTAAAAAATTATATAGTCTGTAGTCATCTTCCACTGATTGTTGCTTGACAAAAGACTGTAGGACACAGACCATCAGTAGCACAAAAAACATGGTGATTAGAGATTAGATTGGATTTATTCATCTGCAGTTCAGACCTAATTACATATTTTCTAAAAAAATTAAACACATTCAGAGATGCTTCTGAAAATGTTTATACACAGAGCTTTACTCTGAGATACCATTCTAATTAATTTGCCAAAGCTTTTGCCAGGGCAGGCCCTTTATAAATGCATATATATAAAACAAAGCAAAACAAACAAAAATAACACAAACAAACAAACAAAACTTTTGAAATTATCTGTTTATCATTCATTTAATCAGATGGAGAGAAAACATGCAAATAAGGAATGCAAGTCTCAGAAACACTTCAGTTACGTACAGCCACAGGATTCAAATAAATGCCTGAAAGTTACTAGTACATGCACAACATCGGACGCTGCCTACTCCTAAATTGTGCCTGATCTATAAGAATTAATTTCCAGACAGCAAAGTGTAGTATTGCTAGTTTTGCACTTTTAAAGCTGTTAGAGAGCAGTTTATATTAACCTTGTCCTTTCAGATGGCAAAATCGTAGTTTGAAGCCTAACAGGGTTGACACAGGGGACATGTCAGGTATTCAGAAAGCGTAGTTTGAAGTTTAACCTTAAACTAGGGTAATGTGAAGGGCATTCACAAAAAAACAAGATATAGCTTTAAAATCTGATGGTTAGAACACGTGTTCCTAGGTTTGAGTGGGGAACGAAATGCCAGCCATGAGTCTTCAGTAAAGGACACTGAAGTTGCATCTTGCCTAAACGGGAATACGTGTCGGTGTCGGATGGAAATGAGCCCGCACGGCTTTAAATGCTGCGCTGACAGGAGTAGCCGGATCTACGTTAGTAACAACAAGCATCAAGAGGCTACATATTGCTAAACAGACAGTTCGTGTAAAGAAATGTTATGCTGAGCTCTTCCCTGGTTCTGTAATTAGCTTTCCGCATGCAGGCTCTGAGGCATCCTACTCGCTGTGGACTGGGCGGCAAAGGGGAGGAGTGCCGCGGTGACCGGAAAAAAAAATGCTTTTTTTACGTTTTAAAAAGAGCCTTGTCTGTAAATGATAGGGGATAAATACGGGGAGGGGGAGGTTGCCAACATTTCTGTGGATTCCCAGACTCTCTCCCTGAAAACCGAAGGCGCAGAGCTGACAGGGCTGCGAGAAAGGTGGAAAGTTTGTGTTTTTTTCCAAAGCTCCACTACATGCTGTACTTTTCCCATACGACGTGAGCCGGTCGGTGCTGCACGAAAGGACGGCGTCCCTCCTTTTTCTGCTTCAGCGAAACATGCGGCAGCTTAGCTCACCGTCCTGTGTCTACGGGGAAATAGAGCCTTTGCGTCGAAACCACACCTCAAAACAAGTAAATAGAAACTTGCCTCATTTTCATGGGGGGGAGGAGGGGGGAAAGAGAAGGTTCAATCGTCGCTACCTATTTTCCTCTACCCGTCTTCCTTGTCCTCTGCGCTATTTCTGTAAAATGCTGAAAAACTTCATTTTCACAGTGTACGGGGTGGGGGGCGGGTGGATGTGTACTGCCGGGCTGATAATTATTAGCAGCAGGTTTCGAGCACGAGTTGCCTTCAGGACAAAAAATAATAAATCTGAACGACTGCCTTTAAAACCCTTTTGAAGATGAAAGGTAGGACAAGACAGTTGTTTTAAAGTGCCCACATTAGCAGCGCTTCTTTACAAGACTATAAATAATAGTACAGGCACGGGAGAAGCCTCGGCGGAGCGCCGCACTTGCTGAAAATCCGCTGCCACTCCGGGGCGAGTGCTCCTTTCCGGGGACTCTGCGCAGGGCACCGCTCCCCGGCTGCTGCCCGGGCGGCACCGGGACCGGGATCGGGATCGGAACCGGGATCGGGACCGCTCCGCCATCGCCGGCGCTGCGGGGCAGGGCCGAAGCGGGCCGTGCCGGACCGGGAGGCGGGGAGGAGCTGCCCGCGCTCCCCGTAGGCAGGGCGGGCGGCAGGGCCGGCCCCCTCTCCGGGCTGGGTGGGGTGTAGGGGGGGGCCGGGGGTGGAGTAGGGTGAAATAGAGGCGGGCGTGTGTCACCGGGTAGATACCCGCGGCCAGGTACAGGCGGAGGCACTGACGATACGGAGTGGATGCGCTCTGGGCTGGTGCTCCTGGGCAGCGAGCGCACGAGCAGCCACCGCCCGCCCGCCCGGAGCCCGCGGGTCACTCGCCCTGCGCCGGGGCGGGCAGCCCGTCCGCGCCGCGCCCGCCGCCAGCCCCATGGCCACCAGGGTGCTGACCATGACCGCCCGCCTGGGGCCCGTGCAGCAGCCCGAGGAGCCGGTGTTCGCGCAGCTGAAGCCCGTGCTGGGCGCCCGGGAGGCAGCGATCTTCCCCGGAGAGGACATGAAGCAGCAGCCGCCGCCGCCGCCGCAGCAGCAGCAGCACCCGGGGGGCGGCGGCGCGAACCTGCCGGCGGAGGAGATGGTGCAGGTAGGCAGCGAGCACCGCTCAGAGCCCGCCGTGGGCACCCGGTGCCCGCGCAGCCCCGGAGCCGCGCCTCGCCCCGGCCGGAGCGGAGCGGGCGGGACTGGGTGGGGCCGGACTGCGGGGCGAGGGCGGCGGACACCCAACTGCGGGGCTGTGGCGGCAGCGGCAGAGTGTGCGTGTGTGCCCGTGTCGTGTTTGTGTGTATGGGTCGGTGTGTATGTGCGGGGCAGCGGCCACGCCGCCCATCCCGCCCGGGCGGAGCGGGGAGCGCTCCCCGTTCCCGCCGGCGGAGCGCGGCGAGGCGGCCGGGGCCGTCCCGGGGAGGCGGGGGGAGCCGGGCTGCCCCCGCCAGTGTGTTGAAAGCTACAGCTGCTGCCTTCGCACTTGCCCGGCGGCAGAATTAGAGCGGCCGCCTGTCCTCCTCGCCCACGCAAGGAGTCATGTTCGGGGGGCGGGGGGGGAGAGCACACGACTCGCTGGTAACGGGGGACTTCCCAGGACTTTGTGCCCGTCCCAGGAGGCTGTTTGGGAACGGATCCGCAGGCAAACAGCTGGAGGAGCTAAAAGCGGGAAGGTGCCAACCGCAGCCGGGCTCCAGCCCGCGGACAGTGTTCGCTCCAGGGCGGCTCCCCGCGCCCTGCGAGGCACCGGCGTTGCCCGGGTCGGCGGAGAGGGAGCCCCGGTGCCGGGCAGCGCTGTGTCGGGCGCTGCCTTTCGGTGCTGTCTTCCCTAACGAGTAAATAAGTCTCCGTCTTCAAAGCGAGCTGCCCTCGACTCGTAAACAAGAGCTGGAAAAAGTAGCCTGGCATGTCGGGGCAGATCCAGATCAAAGGGACGGGAAGGCGGCTGTGTTTGTTTGTGGTGTTTACCGGGGGTCTTTGAAGAAAGGTCCTAAAATCCACTTTCGGGCAGAGTTGGTGTTTGTCAGCTGCTTTCGCTTGCGGGGTGCTAAACGGGTCTGGTATGAGCTCTCTCTTGACAGGGCAGGGGGGAATGTAGCATTTGCCCACTGAAGACTGCATGGTGAATGTTTTGCCGATGACTGTACGCCAGTAATGTATAGGGCTCCAGCCACCCACGGATTCCCTCGCACTACTGCGCTAAGAGGGTGATTTTCCAGTAATTAAAGAGCTCTCCGAGGACCGAGGCATGGATAGGGACATGTTTATCACGCTATTAGACAATTACACACTGCATAGATTATTATTGGTTTAAGTGTAGTCCTGGAGACACTTTACACAAAGAGTACTCTGATGTACTCAACCCGTCTCTTTTTTATCCGATATTATTAATAACTTTACACTTTGGTGTTGTATTTCTAATTAAATCCCATTCTTCTAGAGATGAAAAATCATGGAAGTATGTTTTTTATATATATATAAACATTATTTGAAGTCTTAGTATTCAGATAGTCAGCTGAGGATGTGGCTTTTACAGTTAGCATTTCAAAGAGAAGCGGGTGAAACAGATAGGCAGTCACCCTGCTCGAGCAGTGAATTCCAGAGCAGGAGATCTGCAGATTAGGCACAGCGCCTGTCACTTCTGTGCCTCGCACTGTCTTTTAGGCATAAAAGATGAAAAGTTTGTGTATGCTGAAACATCAGATCTGTCTTAATGTGTCAACGCTTTGTACCGTGACTTTATCTCCTTGTCCTTGATGATGTTGATCAGCGTGCTGATTGTAAAATCAAGCAGGTTTTCATTAGTGTGAGCATTCATAACTTCCTCTCTAGGTGTCTTGCGGCTGGATGAACAGTATTGCCTTTTATTTGTAAAGCCTCACATGACTTGGATGCCATCATCTTTCTTAGCTGGATTATGGTCTGTTTTGTCTTTGTAGACGAGATGTGAAATGGAGAAATACTTGGCACCTCAGCTCCCACCCGTTCCCGTCATCCCTGAACATAAGAAATACAGAAGAGACAGTGCCTCGGTTGTAGACCAGTTTTTCACTGACAGCGAAGGGTTGCCTTACAGCATCAACATGAACGTCTTCCTGCCCGACATCAGCCACCTGAGAACTGGCTTGTACAAATCTCAGCGACCCTGTGTAACCCACATCAAGACAGAACCATCTTCAGTCACCATCTTCAGTCACCAGAACGAAACTACTGCCCCTGCTCCTGCTCCCACTCAGGCCCTCCCAGAATTTACCAGCATCTTCAGCTCCCACCAAACTCCTGACGTGAACAACATTTTCATCAAGCAGGAGCTTCCTACTCCAGATGTCCATCTTTCCATCACGCCTCAGCAAGGCCAGTTGTATCAGCTCTTGAGCTCGCCGGATTTAGACATGCCTAGCACCACTCCTCAGGCAGCCGTGATGGACTCCCTCAGCAACGTCTCCATGCCCTCAGCCATGGCGGGCCTTAACACGCTCTCCTCGGCTGTTCCACAGACTGCAATGAAACAGTTCCAGGGCATCCCCCCCTGTACCTACACCATGCCAAACCAGTTTCTGCAGCAGCAGGCCACTTACTTCCCTCCTTCACCCCCAAGCTCAGAGCCTGGAAGTCCAGACAGACAAGCAGAGATGCTGCAGAATTTAACCCCTCCTCCTTCATACGCCGCAACTATAGCTTCCAAGCTGGCGATTCACAACCCGAATTTACCAGCGACTCTGCCCATAACCCCCCAGAACATCCAACCTGTCAGATACAACAGGAGAAGTAACCCAGATTTGGAGAAAAGACGTATCCACTACTGTGACTACCCAGGTAAGCAATCTGTGCCAGAAAATCCCAGCTCTTGCAATAAAAAAAAAAAAAAAGTGTGAATAATAATGGATGAGGTATAAGTGGTTTTCTTCAGCTGTGGTCTACACCTAGGGAGAACCAAATAGTTCTTTGTCCAAGTAGAATTTGTCTTTGTCACTGTTTTGAATGGAAGACTCTCACACATTCGTTAAATAATTGGTATTCTTCATGTAATTTGTTATTCTCTTGAGCTGATTTTATCATGTTACAAAATAGAGACTCTGTAGAAAATGAAAAAATAAAAATTTTGGGCTTTACTAATGTAAATTAGTGTGACTGTCCAGTATTCATGATGGAGCAGGGGCTCAGATTGTCCAGTGCAGTGCAGCTCTGTTTGAATTTTCTGGCACTGCAAGAGTAATTTCAGCTCCTGGTAGCCAAGGCCAGAGCCATTCTTTCTTCCCTGTTACAAACAGGAGATTCAGCTGCCCTCATAAATCCATTAAAACCATCTCTGAAAATTGTCCACAGATGGATTGCCTTCTGCACTGGAGGGGAAGAGGGATCTGTAAAGTGTGCTTCCATGTAGTACGTGATCCCAGATACAGGGCGTGCACACCCATTGTAAGCGCAGAGAGAAATTGCTGCTCCCCCTTTACCAACTCTGGGTGCCGTATCGTCCATTCAGTGTGTCTTACAATAAATGCCCAGTGAAAGAGTTGTGTTGAGCCCTGGGTGACAATGACACGGAGTCTGGCTTGATCAGGTCCACTGGAATTAAAAAAAAAAGTCAAATAATCCCCCTCTGCTAAGTTGTTGGTTTACATAGCAGGTGTTACTGTGCATAGATTGTAGCAGCTATTGGCCTATATACTACATTACAAAGCAGTAAGTTGACCAGAAACATGCATGTTTTTCTCTTTTCTGTGTCAAGCAACATATCTCTAAGAACATTCTATATAGAATTTTGCTTCTAAATGACAACAATTATGCCAGAAAGTAGTAAACTTTAATGTGTCCAGATGGTACCCCAGCACTGAATGAGGAAATTCAAACATAATGTGGAGTGTTTCTGTTCTCTCTACTGAAGCCTCTTTGCTTTTTTTTTTGTTTTTTTTTTTGTTTTGTTTTGTTTAGGCTGATCAAAAGTTTATACGAAGTCTTCTCACTTAAAAGCGCACCTGAGAACTCACACAGGTATGTATGCACTCGCTCTCTCGCTGTCTCTTGTTCGTCCGTGGCTGACGCGTTTTCTGACAAAGCAATCACACTGGGTCTGCCAGCCTCTCCCTGTTTTCTCTAGAGTGTTGTGGACTGACTGGCAATTCAGCTACAAAATATTTGAGGATTGGTCAGTGAGAAGCAAAATTTGTTTTATTAATGCAGTTTTGTTAAACCTCAATGGAACTCAAAAGAGCTGACAACGAAGTAGATGGAAACTTTCCTTTTCAGTCTAAAATGCCACTGAAGTGTTAAAAAAAAAATCTTCTTTCCTCCCCAAATAGTGAATTAAACACAGTAAAGACATTTTACTTTTGAAGATTTATCTGAGTAGATAAATCTGGCTTGGGCTTTCTTTTTGACCTTTTAGGATTATTTAATCTTAGAATTTTTCACAAACGACATGAAAACTCCCAAGATATGTCCATTTTCTTTGTCCTTGGCACTAAGCGGGCTTTACAATTTTTTTGAAAGACAAATGGTTCTCCATGTTTATTTTTTTTTAAAAGGACATAATTTAGATTTTTTTTTTTTTAATTCTGTCAGGGAAAGACATTAAAATGAAGAAAATTAAAAGTGTCAGTGTGTCACAGTTGTTTTTTTTACCCTGATCAAACTGCTTGCAGCTACAGAGGCCGTCCCTGTTCCTGGACCCGCGAGGAGCGGAGCTGGGCACGGTGTTGGTTGTATGGGCGCAGGAGCTGTGAATGCTGAGGACAGTGGCTGGGAGGTGGAACTGCCCCACATGCTCTTCCCAAGTGTTCACCTGCTGAGGCAGGGGGGAGAAGGGCAGAGGGAGAGAAGGAAAAACACATTGCTCACCACCAGCACGCCCGAAACTGTTAAGGACAGTTCTTTGCTGGGATCTTGGTACAGAACCACTCACGCTAAATTGGTGAATAGCACATGACTTGATTTTGTAAAGAAATGAAATGAAAGGACTGTGACTCCTGTATTTAGAAGTGAGTGTGAACTCCGGTTCTTTTATGCATGGGCTTGGAATCAGAGCAAAACACGAGTCACAGTTCAAGCAACTTTGTTATCGAAGAGGAGGACTGTGCCATTCAAGGAGTGAGTTTTCACCTAAGCTTAAATCAAAGCTTGTCCGGAGCTATGGTCTAACAAAATGTTTCACTGTCTCTCTGGAAACAAGGCCTTCTGTTCAGCAGCTATTATAAATGGATTGTTAGATTGCTGTAAAGAAGTTGAGTCCATGATAAGTGTTACTAAGGAAATCTTGTTTTCAGAAATGAAAGTTACTTGTGTTGTACAGTGAAAAATTAAAAGCGAGTGTAGAAAATTATTGTTTTGCATTAGAGACAGGCTAAGCACCAACGCTGTTAAAAGTATTATTAATATATAATCACTTGCTAGCAGTAAGTTTAGTAAGAAAGGAGTATTTTCATGAGGCTGAAAATCTGAGTAGTGTCAGAGAGTAGAATCCCAGTTTAATAAATAATCTGTAAATTTAAGTGTACGATTTCCACTTGCGCACTTCAGCCAGGAACTAAATGCCAGTTTTAAATATCTTGATTGCTATTATAAAATAACTAGGAAGAGAGATAAAAGCAAAGCTTTAGTCTAAACATTAACACTACCTAGTCAGCATTTGAAATGAATGCTTTTCCTTTTTTAAATCAATTTGTAACGTTTTCTGTGCCTTGAGTGGTAATGACTTCAGGGTTTAAAAGTTAGTTTCTTGTATGCATAGAAATACATACCTCATGGCTAGCATATATTGCTTAGGGTCACTAATGTTTATTGTTACCTTCACTTTTTTACCTAGAAATGTGGATAAAATGTGCAAAGGTCAGAGGAGCTGATGTATTCATGGAAACAAGAATGTTGTTTTAGATAAAAATCTAGTGAACTTAAGCAGGTCTGTAATACAAAGGGTCTTCTGGGGAGGTGAATGAAGGGATAAACTGTCTAAAGCGTGCATTACATGCAAGAATGTGAGTCCTGTATCCTGTTACCTGCAGTATTTCAGAGTTTGGATTAGTTTAACTCTCCTGAATATTCACTTCATACTTGAAGATTTCCAGCAGCGATTCTGATCTCTGCCTTAACATACGATTGAACTGTGTTTCAAGAGCCAGATCTCTGACTTAAGGTTTGATCGATTAAGGAATGCTAAAGTAAAGGGGTGCAAACTCTCAGGGAAATCTGTGAAGTTGCTCAGCCTTCCCCAAGAGTGCAAGGGAATCTTGCTATTGATCTCGGCAGGGATCGATGCCGAGGGCTAAATTAGGGGATGTGCCGTTGTTCATCCCATCCCCCCAGAACTGTGAATTAATACAGCACTAATAAGTTTTGATTTTTCAGTTTTAAAACATTTTTAAAGGACCTTGTGAAGCTTTTACCTTCAAAGTCTAAAGCAAATGTCACGTAAGCCGTTTTAATAAAGTTGTGTGTGATATTCTTTCAAATCCCTTCAGGGATAGCAGACCTGTTTATCTGGCTAAACCCGTTCTTTAGTAATCATGGACCACTGAAGTTGTTCTCTCCTTATTCTTAGTTTCTTAACAATACCTTTTAAAATTGGCTGCAGTCTCTCTCTCATCCCAACCAGTCCCTGCCCTTCTCAGCAATCTGTCATCTTAAAATAAAAGAGCCTGCAGCTAAGTTTGTCTGCCATTAAAAGTCAAGACAGACCTCATGGTTTTCCTTTTGTATTGGAAAATCTCAGCCTTTTCACAGTATTTATTTAGCAGCCTTTTTCTTCTGAAAAGCTTTCTCTGGGTTTAGTAGATGATCTTTGAGAACAAGCCTAAGGGAAATGTTACTTTTGATAGATGGAATGTAGGCTGTAGTATATTTTTTTTTAGTTCAGATATGAACATACTGTCAGATTTTATAAATTACATCTAAAAAAAAAAAGTGTAGGAAATGGGCAAGAGGAAAATCCCGTATCTTTTTCTTCTTAGGTGTTCTGGAGCTGTTTACCTTCCACCAGGTCAGGTGGTATAAAGTGATATAGTTATGCTGATTTAGTGTAGTTACACTGGACTCTTGCTGTTGATCAGGAATCCAGTGTTCCTGCTAAGAGCTAAGATAGGGTTATGTGTTTTTGCTGGTTGCCGAAGCAGGCGCACATTTTTCTTTCCCAATGTAATGCTTTACCATGTGTTAACGATGAAATAAATTTTAGTTGGTAAATTGGCAACCCCAAAACAGAATATGAACAAAGGTTCGAGTGTTGAAAAAATACCGAATGTTGTTTGTCGATTTCCCTGCTCCAGTTCTGGAGCAGACATGTAGTACATTTTGATACCTTAAAACACTTCAATGTGATACCTGAATTTGATGTTAGTTACTTCTGAAACAGGTAAAATGGTTCTCAGTATTTTAAAGTACCTATTAGAAAATCTTTCAAAACAGGTGGAATTTTTGGCCTTTGAAGCAGATAGTTTCTTTTAAAATAATGTTACCTGTTTGTCATGGAACAAGTTTTGTTTCGTACATGGCACTGCGCAACTGCTGTATCTAATGTGTGAGGGGGTTGTGCATTTATCACGGGCTGTTCAGCAGCAAAGCCACCTGAAAGCTCTGGCATAACAGCCGTATGTCCAAACTGAAAGGTGTGCCACATTTCCGGGAAAAGCAGTTACTTGCGTATTGCAGATAAACTTCATTTAGTTCTTCCGGCATCCAAGTATATACACATATGTATCACGTAATCATTTAGAAGCAGTGGTCCTATAACGTATCCTTTTAGATTTCTTTTTATGCCAAGCATTTGAATTGTGGACATTGACTATTGACTGTGCAGGCACCTGGAATACCATGCCTGTACGCTACCTGTAATGCTGCAGAGCAGCTGGCTTCGGGGTCGGTGGGGAGGTTAATTATTTCTGTGAGCAGCTGCACACTTCAGAGTTGTGTATGTTTTTAAGAGGAAAATCTGTGATTGTTTTGGACACATCAAGGCACGCACATTGAGGACATTTTCCAGCTGCGTACTGGTTTTCCGTATACAGAGTCTTTGTACAGGCATGTTCTCTGGTCACATGGTGGGCTTGCCATTAATAGTTTCTAGCATTAACTGCAGAACTATTTCATCTCTATCTATAGATCTAGCTTGTATTTGGTGATGGGAAGTGGAAGCCGAGATAACTCAAGAGAAATGGCATTTCCCTAATGAGATGCACTCAAAATACTTCCACTGTCCCTGGTTATTTCAAATGTTTATATAGGCATGGAACAGCTGCTGACTTGTGCGGTTTGTCAAGGTGTTAAACGTTTTATTTTATTTTAGATCTCTGCCTCAATAGATCCAGAATTAGAACCAGTTGTAAGCAGTAGACTTCAGCAGTCCCTGGGACTTGGTGCTCTCAATTCACCGTACCTATGTGGACACTTGTTCAGGGTGGTGTCATTTGCCCAGGAATTCAGGAAGAAGCCTGGTTGGGAAGGGAAGACAAGTAGTAGTTGGGCTCCCGCTGGAGGAAAAGCACATGGGGAAAACATGTATGAACTCAAATCATACCAAGACTTTGGTGAGGGATTTTGCTCATGGTGTGCAAATGAGGAATGGAGGCTCCAAAAGACTCTGCCTTGCTCATAGTTGCAGCCATAGCAAACCTTATCCTGAAATCATGAAAACAGCAATTAAGTAATACTTCTGTGCAGATCCAGCTTCTTTGGCCTGTTAAATGGGTGAGTTGCATAGATTACACTTTGAGGAGCTGTCAGTAAATGCCATCATTGATAGAGACCATAAGGAAAAGTGGAGGAGAGTTAAAGAAAACTGTTGACAAAGTGCATTAAAGTGCAGTGTTGCTAGACACTGCTGAAGGGTATGTTAGTATCTTTTATTTATGAATTCTGCTAAATCCATTAGTTGCCTGTGTGAGAAATGGAAGTACATTATTTTCCTGTGCAAACCACAATTTAAGGGAAAAGAATGCATTTTCTTCAAACACTTCATGAATGATCACAGGCCTTGGGAATAATTGATCTGGTTCTTCATCTGCAGTCATAAGCAGAATGGGAAGTGTTTGAATGTGTTGCTCAAAAGAGGTTGAAATGTTAGCAGCATAAACCTAAATTTTATTTAAACATTACTGATCATTCTCACTGGTATCCAGCATAAAACTTCTGTGAAGCAGGAATTAAATTCCAAGGTGTCAGGTGAGGGTATTCCAGTTAGATTTTAGATACTGAAAAAGAAAAGCCTAATATTTTCTTTTTGATTAAAAGCCTAGAAAGTCCCTCTAAGCATGACAGCTTAAAAAAACTGTTGTTTCTGTCAATTGCTCCCTGAGAGGATTAAACTTCAGTTCCAGGATATTTGATTCTTGATAAGGAAACTGTTGACCTAAGAGACCAGCTTTAAATATAGTTCATTTTGAGACCGCCCTACATAGGCTAATAGTCCCAAGATTCACAGCAATTGCCAGTGATTAAAACTTTCCATTATTTGATCAGACTTTCCTTATTGTAATTAATTTCTGAGGCTTGACTGGGATGACTGACTCCTGGTTCCAGCCAGGGTAGTGTGTTGCTTGTTGTTTGTTAGATGACCTGCACCTCCCATTGGTGAAAGATTAGAAACATTTAAGTAATGTCCTAGTTTAGTCTGAGTATCTTGGTAGCAGCATTCCTGTCCTGTCAGGCTGCATTATTTATATTCAGAGATCTCTTAACAACTCTGATTAAGGATATATTAAAACCTTTGGTTTTGGCGAGTGTACAGTGCTTTGATTTGAGTTAAAATGCCTTTAATGTATTACTTTTTTTTTCTTTTGGTGTATATGTGCATACAGTAGATGGAAACCTGGAAGTTTAGAGTATGCGTTTAATAAATTCCATTTTAAGAGCACCTCTTATCTGACTGTACAAAAGCCAGTGTTATTGGTGAGAGAGCTAAAGAGCAGTTCTTGTACCACAGGCAGAGGTGAGGAAATGTGTTCTTCAGCACAGGATGTGTAGACACAGCCGTGCACCCCAAATGGCATGGATTTCTTATAAACCTACTTTAAAAAATTCCTTTCCCCTGTGTTTGCATATCTCCTTGAAGAGAGACCACCTCTGTTAAGACAGAATGTTATACCAGAAAGAAAATAAACCATAGCACAGGGCAGTCAAGATTCCCCACTAATCCTTGAACAGCATAAGACAACACTTAGCAAAATAAGTATGCTTCTAGCACTGGTGGGAGTGCTGAGAAGGTAATGCCTTCTGCACCTCTGTAGTCAGACAGTAAATTCCTTTGACTGTCCTCTTTGATCACCAGTGAGTTATCTTTTATTCCTGTTCGTGCTTCATTTATCAGTGACCGGACTTTGTGCTGAGCTCAAAAATTCCTTAAACTGCTGTTTCATTGTGAAGTAGTATTTAATAGTACCCCTTTAGCCACTGCTCTAGTAGGCAGAGACCTTATTGCATTTAGAAGTGTGCTGCACACGTTGTCATTCATACCATTTGTGGATGAATGTGGCAAAGACTACATTTGTTTTGTCACACACAGAATAAGCTGGATGTACCTGGCTTGCTATCAGTCCTCTCATCCATCTCCATCGTGGACAACTGAGAATTCTAGTGCACTAAATATCTTTTAAACACCTGAAGAATTACTTATTTTAAAAATCCAGCTTTCTGTTCTTTCTCAAAAAAAAACCCCAAAACCAAACCTAGAAGCTGCTTTTAATGACTACAGCACTTAGCTGTAGTCTCTTAGTTTAAACTCTCTTAGTCAATAAGACAAAGAAGATCTGATTTTAGGTAAACATTGAGAGCAAAAAACTTCTGAATGCTTGGGGACATACACCCCAGTAACTACTTTCAGGTCCAGTCACCCGGTCAGAGTTTAAAACTATGGTGCTGTTAGCTAGGGAAACACTATTTCAAGCAAACTAAAACAGAAAAAATAATTTCATTGTTTTTTTTGGTTTTTTTTTTCTAAAATTTGAGGCTATGTCAAGAAATTAAGATAACTGATGTTAATATGTGAAAAATTTCAAAACATGTACCAAAAAGCTTTGAGACAACATAATCTGTTTTAAAGCTGAACATGATAAAGGTTATGTACATAGCTGGTACAGTTTTGGTACAGAAACTTCTGCTTTGCCTGCCACAATTTTATCACACCTACCTGAATATTTTTTAAGGCCAGCCACTTGCAGCTAGAAATAGTTCCGTAATAAGCACAAGTAATATTAAAATGATTGCAAGACTGGAGACAGCGGGGCTGTCTTTATACTTTTATACCCTTATGAGCTGTAATCAGGTGTTGTGATTTTGGAGTCTCTGAAAAGTGTACTATTTGTTATTCCTTAAGGAAGCTCCAAATTCACTGCTCTGACAGAAATTTCTTATAGGAAACAAGTGAAGTTGCAGGCATTGGCTGGTGTAATATCTTTATTTGGATTTCTGCATACCAATAGAATTACCTAACTTCAGGTTTGAAAATCCAGCCCTTGCTGTTTACAACTTTTTCTTAAAAAAAAGCTGTCCTGGCAGTGAATTGCAGAAATAAAGTCATAAAACTCTTTGGTGAAATAAGGAAGCTTATTTTCTTCTTAATGGGGAGATTCATCAATAACTGAGTCTGTCAGTGACTTGTTTTTTCCAAACAATTTAAAACAGAAACATGTTCTTCAACAGAGGCTGCGTGTTGGAGATAGAGGGTATCTTCAAAATGACCGTCTCCCCCTGCACTGGTGGCACTGTGCCTTACCCAAATGAGCATGGCCATGAGGGTCGCTGCCAGCAATTAGAATTAAATGTTAGGAAAGCCACTGGTGCATTTTGACACAACTGAATCAGAAGATAAATTAAAGGG